TCTTTTAATTATGTTTGAAATTATGAACATTGCTCAACATCATGAAAATTAAACCTTATTTTCAATAAGCAATCCTGAAAAATATTTGGGGGTGCTTAACTTTTTTCCAAGTGTATATTTCGGCTTAAATCCTAATAATATATTATGTTGATTGTTTAGCTTAAAAGATTTAGGTCGCATTAAGTTACGCTTTTCCATTTTGAGAATCATGGATCCACCAGTGAACAGGTAATTTCGTCTGTATAAAATTTGAAAGGAACTATTGAAATTTGTTTAATATCCTGATAGATCTAGTGGTTTTGTATAAAATCCCAAGCAAAGTTAGTTTCCTCTCGATGCCGCTTCTGGTTTTCATTCAGTGCACTTGTTTGAAGTTTCACTTGTACAATTACAAAGAAGTCGGTATTAAGTAAGAGACTTAAGTGTATTTGTTAAAATTAAGATAATTTTTCCAAAGAAATTTACACGTTAGTTCTGCTTTAGAATTTGTTGTTTGTCTACTGTTATTTGTTTCTAGATCCAAGTGAAATGTGTCCATTCTCATTCATTTTTGTCAAATTTGACTTATTTCACACTTTGACTTGCAAATTATATTGGCCCTCAGTGGCACAGCGGTATGTCTGCGGATTTACAACATTAGGAATCGAGTTTCGATATTCATGGTGGGCAAAACACAAAGAGCCCATTGTGTAGCTTTGTGCTTAATTACAAAAAATAAAAACAAAAATTCTATCAAACACCATGTTTTGCAGCTTAAATAACTTACAGACACATTGGAATGTATAAACCATTAGGAAGGGGCAGTTGTAAATGAATAAAGATGATCTGACATTCAATAAAAACGTTTTAAAATATTATTGAACAATTTTACACAATAATAAATACTGTATTGTACATACAAAATACAAATTAACTTGTTTGCCGTATTGATTTTGTATGCTACAAAATCACGAAAATGTATATACTGTTACGTCTCTGTTCGTTAGTTAGTTTTTCGTAAATTCGTTCCGACGAAACTTTAGCGACACAAGTCCTTTCTTGAATAAAACTGGTTTATTCTTTCCGAATACAACTTTACGATACACTTAATTTCAACAGTCGCTCTGTAACCACCGCTATAATCCTCAACGAACTTTTCACCTGCTTAACAATATTCTCTCTGACTGCAGTTCAATTACTCATTACCCTGTTCCGTCAAGTTGTGACCATCTTATATAT